GCATAAATTTCATGGTATTTAATCAAATGTTGTTTCAACGAAATAGTTTTTCTTGCGATAATATTGCATATATTTTCATTGCTTCTTTACTAAGCACTTCTTAACTGCCTTGTACCTAACTTTTTGACTTTGAAAAATGCATCATTTTATAGATTTGAAATGAGTTATGAAACACCCTATGATTCTATCAAAAAGGTTACATCACATAAATACTCATGATCAGACATTGATGGAAAGATGAAGCGATGTGCATAATATAATCAATGTTGACAATTAAATTACGCAAGACACGTTATTCAAAATGTGGCTTTTATAAGAAAATGTAGCTTCTAAAAAAGGACTATCGATCATAGTATGAACGAAGTTGGTCTCATTTGATTTCATTTTTTCTATGGATCGTATGAACTACAGGTTTCGACGCACTGCTATGCATTTGATGTAAAGGTAATCGCTCTTTTACTGCCTTTCATTCCTTGTAGAACTTCGTTTGAATCAGACACAAGTCTACAAGTAGATCTAGTCTATATCTTATTACGCACCCGTTCTTTATCCAATTTTTCATTATAGTCTATTCTCGAAGTAAACAAGGAAAGTGTAAAGGTAACGAAATACTAATTAGGGTGGGGTATATGTGTTGAAGTCTTCTCTTCACTCACATTCATTTTTTTTCATTAAATTTCATTATATAGCCTTAGTGTATGTTGACTGACATTGGCTTCGATAGGGTAACAGATTAAAAAAAAAACAATATTTCAATTGATGCCTCATTGTAATTACTATTGGTTGCTTTCACTTTCATTAATTAAGGAAAATGATTATTAACACATAAAACAAAATACTGTGTTTTATTGTTAGTTCAGTGGATAAATAAAACTCTTCAATCATTAGGAAGTAATATATTTTTGAGTACATTGCGACATCATGCTTCACTTATTCTATATTGAAATGATAAATTTTTACCATGACTATAATTTATATTTATGTCTTTTATGATTTTAAAGCATTACATATCAACGATCAACTTAGATTGAACAAAGAAATATAATTTTCTCAACTTTTAGTTTATATGAAACAAATTATTTTTTATTTTCATTTCGATAATTGAAGATCCAATTACAACAATTGAAATGAAATTCATCTATTGAAGTTCAGTTGAAGAATATTCAAGAAAAGACTTCCCTCATTTTTAGTTTTGAAAAAAAAAGATTGTATATAACTGTTCATGAGTAATATTCTGCATGTTCGTAGAAAGTGCTTATATCTTTAGTGGACATTTAAGAGAGAATATATTTATATATATATATCTGTAAATTAATGAGTAACTAAACGTTCGCCAACAAGAAATAAAATTTAAAATTATTTAATGTTGATTAGTAAATTTTGTTTAGTCTTCATTAAATCGATTATCATCGTAATCGGATCAATTCATAGAATTGTCGTTAGACGAACAATTAACATCGTAACAAAATATTTCACGATCTAAATGTCAACATGTTTACAAAAAAATGAAAATCGAATTGGAGAAATTTTCTTGTTTAAAAAGGTAAATTATATTTGCTATAAAAAATTCGAAACAATTGTGCCTATGATCATGTGTTTATTTGATACGTGTTAGAAATAAAAAATAATAACAATCAAAAAATCGTATAAACATAAAAAAAAATCATTTTCAATTATTGGCTCAACTAAAGGTTTTGTGTTAACAAATTTGAGGCGCTTGCTGCAACTACTGAATACCCTGAGTCTTGTATTTCATCTTTATAGAATTTTCACATCTCACTATGAGCTTGTAAAAGAATATTCCAATCGTCCATAACATATAAAATCCAATAATAGACTATCTAATATATAATATAAATATTTATGTGGATTTGGACATGTCCATCGAACCGACATCTCTTTTCTACTGTTGTACTAGTATGTATACGTCGTGATCAAATCCAAAATTTCAGTTTTGACTCGATGAAATTGAAAGATTCTTTTTGATAAACATGAATAGGTAAAGAAACATAAATAATTAAAGTAGTAATAGATTTCTTTTTCATTTCACCAAATTTTTTAGAAAATATCATATGAGGGTTAAATGTGTAGTACGAATAGATTTTTGTCGATGAGGATGTGCTACGAGTAAGCGTTGAGAATTGCAACTACATACACATCTCCATTTACTATCAATTATGAGCTGAAGAGCTACAAGTTTTCAACCACAAATGGTTTGCCAGAAAATAGTTTGACTATCAAATTTACTTTTTTTATTTTAATATATGAAATATTTACAAATTATTGAATGTATTTTATATTTTTTGTCAGACGATTGAGATATACGCTCTTTTTACTATTCGAACAATTTTTGAAAAGCAATACCTATCAACAAATTTTCTTTCTCTTTCTTTCAAGGTTTTATTTCTATCGTTTTAAGACGACTCCGCTTCTCGGTGTACACCTATATTCGAAAAAAAAAAGTTTTTCTTTTTATTTTGCCAACATTTAATCTATTCTTTCTTTCATTTTTATTTTGAGAATGTGAAGTTTGTGTCACTAAAAAATAACTTTGTCTTTCTCATCTTTGATTTATGATAAAAATAATATCGAAGGAAAAATGAGTGTGAGAGAGAGAGAGCAAGCATTTGGGCACCATTTTATTGTTCCTCTAGATATTTTTATTTTACTTTCGTTATCCGACTCAGAACTGTTTCAAGTATTTTCAGTCTGAACGAATTATTCTATTATTTACAGAAAAATAGTCTAAATTCGACTATCAAACATATAAAAGCCATCATAAATCGATTGGAACGATGGAAACAAAAAACGAGAGCAGTCATTTTTTATTGTATTTCTGCATTTCTTTGCAACCGAATCTGATTAAAACTTTCAAGGATATTTATAATTGCTTTCTAAATGATTTCAGCTATAGAAAAAAAGACTTCGAACAGAGTACTACAAATCTTTTTCCGCGAAATTCAACTACTCTGTTGTGCAATTCGTAATGAAACCTGACTGTTGAATAGTTATTCTTAATTGTAATATAATTTGTCATATAATATATCGTTAATTTGTGAGCTACTTGTTCACGTCTATCTCTAATATAATATGCGGCTCCAACCGAACTCAGAATTATTGCTGTGATTATAATTGATATCGAAATACAGCAAAAACAAAATTTGCACCCGTCCAAAGATGATTGTGACATAATTTATCAAATAAAAAATAGTCAATGTATTTGTATTTTTACACGGTCTTTTATAAGAAGGAAGTGCACATGTAGATGTGAGTTTTTCTTTATTTATGTTATATTCATGTATGATGAGTAAATTTTTGTGCTGCAAAATTTCTCTAACAATAATATTTACATTCAAAAGGTGAGTAATAGAAGAGCATGGCAATTTCTGTAAGCTACATTATTATTCAATGAATAATTAAAGCTAAAGAATACTGTTACAACAAGCCTCATTTAACATTTTAACATTAATATCTTCACTAATACTCTCAGTCATGCCTTGATATCAATTTTATCCTTTTTTTTTCACTTGCATACTAGCCAACTGACTAGTGTTTTATTTTCAATATAATTTAGACGTCAAATAGAAATTTAAAAAAAATTTCTTAAAGCACCAGTCATTAATGCCAATATTCAAGTTGCTCAATGAAAAGTCTTGGAATAGTTAATAGTAATACGATAAATTTCTTGATTCTGCCTTAAAGATATAAACATCATGTCTGTATACGAATTATATTAAAATCAATATTCTATGCTTATTTCTGAAAGAATTGAATTAAATTTCCATACAAAATACTCACAACAAGAAGACAACTCTTTAAACTAGTTTGTCTTTCGGGTATGAAGTCGCGTAATATTCAGCACTTTCACAACACTATTTCTATGTAAAATCTTCGTTGTCAAGGTTCTCGTTGGTGTACTATAGGAATAATCATTTGTATAGAAACTTTTAAGAATAAAATTCAAATTATGCAATGCATTTATTACTTCGTATCGTCGCATAGATTTCGAAGTAATGCCCTGTACCTGATAGAATTTTATTAAGAACTATATTGAAGTCAAGAAGTAAATGTGTTTTCAGATTTATTCTTAATATGAAGACTATGCTTTTCTTTTTATTAAACAATCGCAATTTCAAAAATGTGAAATGTTGATTTTCTACATTCCCCTATTTATGCTTTAACTTCAAAAACTAAAATAATACTCTCTTTCAAATTATCATTTGGATACATTTTATATTTTTCTTTTGTAAAATTACATTATAGAAGACACAGTCACTGTCAGAAATACTTAACGAATCGATGTATTCACCATTGTGTTCGATTCACATCAACAAATAACTTTAAAATAAAACTGTTTTTTTTTTTTGTATTTTAATCCTTAAATATAATCTATTTTGGTTATTCTTCAACTAGTGACTTGTTTGAAAAACATAAGAGCATTTATTAGATTACTATTAAAAACTTATGGATGATTAAGATTCGATTCAACTTTCACCTCTGACAAACTATGTGCTTCTATTATATTCACAATTAAAATAATTAAGATAAACATGCAATTTCCAAGTCAAAAGAAAGAGCTCAGAAATTTACCTTTCATTGGAAGATACATGATAAATAGTTCCTTATATTTAATGGACATGTCGAAAAATATGAAAAGTTCAAAAGAATATTTACAAAATTATGAAAACAGTCTGAATCATGAAATATTTTGAGTAAAGTTAAAAGAGAATTTAATTTTATAGCAAAACGACAATCGGAAAAGGCAAGTTAAAAATCAATGACTAGACAAGAAAACATGATTGAGTAATTAATTGAAGTAACAACAAAAGAAGAACAGTTTATTTCCAATAGCAGATCTCATCGAAATAAATTTTTTGTTCAAATACAGTCGTAATCATGCATCTTACGAAGTTCGTTTCCAAAATACGTTTGTACAAGTCATGTCAATACAGGAAAGTATATCCTATTGTTTTTACGTTTGGATGTTATTTGGTTCACTTTTAATCTTTTTCATCATCAGGGTCACTGGTCTTAATTACGAAAGTATCAAAAGGACGCGCTTGAACGACCATTGCGGTTGGTTTTGATTCTTCATAACCTATTGAATGAAGTAATATTATGAAAAAGACCTTTCAATTGTAACTATTTATGAAACAAGAAGGAGAATTCAGTCATGAAACCTATATTTTCAATCACTACTAACAAGTTACGAGTAGAATACAAAACTCAATCGAAAAAAATAGGTATTATTTATTAAGCATAAAGGTAAATCAATAATTACCATTAATCGTATTTTTTTCAGATTCTTTTATGAAAAATTACTTGTTACAATTTCTAAACAATTTCTACAGAACTAAATTAACTGTTCAAAATGATTTAAAAAAATAATGAAACAGTACTAATCGAAATTGGTCCTTGAAATATGTTTATTTAATGGTAAAACGAATTTAATGTAGGTTAAAAGCTAACGGCAGATGTTTTCTCTAAAAAAAACTATTTAATTAAAACTTGTGAGTAAAAAAAAAAATGAAAACGCCGAAAAGTGATTTAAATTTTTCCCTAGAGATTTTCTTCAGATATTTTTGTTCTAAACATTTACCAGCTACTTTATCAAAAGAATCTAATAAATTTTCTATTGTATCACAAATAGATTAGACTAGTGAAATGAACTTAAGTGCTTGAAAATTATAGTCATTGATAACTTACAAGCAATTGTTTTCTTCTCTAAAACTATACGTGGAAACACTCGTAGAAAAGGAAATGGCGGTTGAGTTTCTTGAAGTCGAATCTCATGCAGACCAAATCCATGACTAACACATCCAGCAACATTGAATACAGTTCCAGCCAGAAGAAGTACTTCATCATGTGATTGATTATAACAATGTCTTCGAATATCTTTACTTGAAAAACATTCCATCGTAAATATTGTTCTAGGACCCGTTTTGCCCAAAACTTGTTCAGCTTCTAAAACTTCTCTTAAAGTAGTACATGATGAGAAGCCCCACCAAGTTACTGTTTTTCCTTTCTTATATTTTTCATGCAAATCAATCTTGACTCCTCGATAAACTATTTGACTTGGAATTGATGGAAGACGAGAAAGTGCGCTGATGAAGAGTTTGAGAAAGAGAAGCCATGGCTTGAGATTTCGTCTTTTCGGTGAGCGTAGAGCTGCATTCAAAGCGACATACAGACATTGATCGAGTGGTTCCCATCCCATTGAATAAAGCATGATAGCAGCTGATTCATTTTGTGTTAAACCATCAGCCGGTTCACCACATCTCTGTTTGGCTAAAGAAGCATAGTTTTGGATAGATGGTAGAAGAGAAGCAAGTGGTTCGACGGCCTGTTCTAGAGAGACAAGCGGCTTATATTCATATCGACGAATAGGTGCTAAAAATTTCAATGGTTCTTTGGCAATATCAGTCAATCGTAAATCGCGATTGTCGAATGCTTCTTCTGATCTATTTATGTCCATCTTGAATGCATAAATAATTTCTAGACAAATAAATATATCTGAAAAAGTGAACGAATATTGATTATTACTTATTCTTCTGTCTTTTTTTTTTCAAAATTAAACTTGGAAAAGCTATCGACACTCTACCCTTAAAAAAGTTCATCGGATGATAGAGTGTAGGTGTTCATAAAAAATATTATTCATACTCATACGCTCATACTCATTTTTTACGAAGTTTTTTTTGAAGAATTTCTCCATTAGAGATGACCTTGATGATTTTCAAGTGTTTTTTTTATTGAGATTAATCAACTGAACTTGACCACCAAAGATTAAAACAGCAACTATAACTCGTAGATCATGGATTGATAGAAGAAATAATGTAGTGAATAAACTTAAGATAATAATCACCAGTTGTTCTCATCGATTAATATTTGGACTACATTTATGCGCATCGCCGTGAAGCCATAAAGTATTGTTTTACTCGATTTAATCTGAGTAAAAGATGGTCTATTTCATCCAGTTGTCGAGAATCGTCTAGATTGATGGAACAAATATTTATTTTATTTGAAGTTACCTATGTCGCATTTCAATGGAAAGTATTTATCAATTTTGTTCTACCATTGCAAATGATTGGTCGTAGTTTTATCAGCAAATCACCTTATACACGACTACCTGTACGTCTGATGTCAGACAAAAAAAATACTACGTAGAAACAACATCAAGTTTCATTTTTTTCTGTATTCTTTTCTTACAAAATGTATGTAGGAGAGAAGAATAGAACGAAAGAGAAAATTTTTTCAATGATAGACACTTACATGAGAAGCTTGAAGTGACGACAATACAATTGCTTGAATGACTCAACATGTCAAAATATATTGGAAGTTTGGTCATTACAAATATGAAGGAACAGATTCATACTTATTCAAATTATTCATTGCATGTTTGCATTGGTTAACAGAATAAAAAAGAAACAAAATTAATGCCATAACGAAATAAACGACAGAAACTTATTTATCAGACAAGACTCATGATTGTCATGTTTTTTTCTTAGTAGAGATTTGCATCAATCATTACAGTTCAAAACATCTATTTTTTCGATCGAATAAGAAAGCCAATAAAAACACAGATAATGGAACGATAAAAATCCAATGTTAATCTAGCCTTAATTCATAAAGTACAAGCGGCAATAGTTCCACTGCATTTGTTTGATATACATTGACTTACATTAGGAAATATCCTTAATAATTCAAGTATAAACCAATGGACGATGTGCATGTGGATCATCGCTTCATCCATCTGACACTATCACCCTTTTCAGATGCTGACAAAACATTTTTTTATCGAATAAAAAATTAGAACATATGTAGATCACTATAACCTACACTGTTCATTACTTATTTATTAATGAACAACCAAATGGATAATATTTACAAATATCGATGAAGAAAATTTCTAATAACGAGAGCATATTCTCAGGTGTCAATTTGCTTTCCAATTGAGAGTATGGACACTCCATAAATCCTAATGAGCTCTCAATACACTGAAAAGAGTTCATGTCTTTGATTTATTTCTGTAATGATATTTAATTATTCCCACAGCTTTTAGTACAATATTTGTGGTTATCCTCAGTATCACATAGAAAATTGACTCTCGAAATGCGATTTGAAACATGACATAGTGGAAGTTTTCAATAAGAGTAATTTCTTTTGAAAATTTCAAATTTCTTGATAACTTTTATGCTAAAACATGAACATTATCGAACCTCTAACTTCTAGCTCTGATGTCCATCCAGTCTCACTAATCAAATAGTTATGAACACATTATTCATTAGTTTAAGTTCGAACGTATCTGATCGGTAACCTTGTCATGAACACAGCGAGACTAATATGACGAGATCATGATATGGCTTGATTTTTTGGATGTGCGACTGCAGAGACTGGTCTTTCATCATACGTGTCTTTCGCTCCCTAGATTTGTTTAAAGGATATTTCTTTTAATGTCTAACGAAGAACAAACATCTATTCAGAAAAGTTGCACGTTTCGTCAGCATCTTCAATTAGCTAGAATGTTGCTGCTACTTGCATCCATCATCCTGGGGCATCGAATAAAACACGTGGCCATTTAACATGAATCATCTGAGACTATGAATAGTTATCGATACTGGAGTCAATAGATGTGTTTTCTGTCTGTGACCACATGAATGTCTGTTTATTATTTAAACTAGTCGCAAAGCTATACATCGGTGTATTTCGTGCATCGAACTGTGCAACATGAACATGCACCAAACCTAACGGATAAACTGTATATGTTTTCAAGCGATGTGCTGATTAAGGCTGTAGTAGTGTCAAATGGTTAGTCAATAAATAGGTGAATAAGAATGCAAAATTATGAAACTAATGTTTGTGTGGTTTACTTAATCCATATTCTTATGTATTCATTCTAATAAAAAAACAAGATGTTTCATGCAGAGACACATTGATGGATAAGCATTTCTAGCATAACAGACCATGAGAAACATGTTCATGTGATAGTTTATCTCACCTTGACAAATAATGTAATTCATGTTCGTTGGACCCTGATTTACAAGAAGATGGAATCTATTATGTTTCACATTTTAATCCCGAATGGATTACACTGGAAGTTTTTTTCAGAGAAACACTGTCTATGCCCTAAAATTATTCAAAGAGAACAGAATGTGCGTGTGCCTGTGTATATTTCACTTTTATACACCAATCCAGACCAGAGGAAATGGTATTAGTACCATTTTCGACTATTACTTGAACTTGTGGATTTATTTTGATGTAACAGAAAAAGCAGAAAAGTTTATTTTCAATAGCGAGATTCACGATTATAAATTATCACTTCATAGAAATCTAAAATCACATATGAAAAAAAGTTAGCTAAATTAATACGTTTTTAAGAGTCATTTCAACACCGGGAAGTATGTAATAATCTTTTTCTATCCGGAGTTTATTGGACCGACTTCGTATCCGATTCATCTTGGCTGGAAGTTGTGTCAACTACAATGGTTTCATAAGGACGTGCTTCAGCAAGCGTTGCTGTTTGATGTCGTCTTCCGGCACCTATGAATATAGTAATATTATAAGTAAGACCCTCAAGCATAAGTATTTATGAAGCACCAAGGGGAGGATACTGATAGTGATGATGTTTTAGATCACTACTAACAAGTAACAAAGATTGTCCAAAACTCAATGGATAAAACAAGTATCATTGGAGAAGTAAAAAGACACATATGTAGCTACAATGAATCGCTTTTTAAGATTCTCCTATAGAAAGATACTTATTTTAATAAGTATTATTTTGACGAAAAAATTGAGTTTCTAACCAACTCAATCGAAATTGAATTAGCTTGCACTTGATAGTCCTAGTCTCAGCCTACATGTTGATGAAACCATAAAAGAAAAATGTGGGAACATACTGTAAAGGTTGTGTCCTTTTTATACATAATATAACATATTTAATTTACTAATTCTCTTACAATCAATAGAAGCCAATTCCTATCATAATTCGGTAGATGAATGGTTCGGTGAACGACAAAATCCTATTATTCATATAGTCAGTATATTATTCTTTTCAAAAGACAAAAAGGACATCAAATATGATAGACGATTCATATGGTTATCGGCATCTAATTTGTCTGAACTATGTTAGATAATTGCGTGAAAATGAATATTTCCAACTTTCCATGATACAGATTATAGAGAGCGTGAAAGAGAAGACTTAGTCATGTCTAACATGAATCTAATAATGAATATTTCTACCAAAACTTAATGCTATGCTTAAATGTTATCATTCTTTGAGAAAGTAAGAACTGAAGAGAAATAAGTTGAGGACGACGTACTCAGAAGAATAACTGTATAATGGAACTAATGACTATCTTTTGATTGATCATTCATCAAAATGATACAAATGTAGAGAATGCACTGAGAATTACACACAAGTGAAGAAAGAAGAAAATGATGGAGTTATATATCAACTCAAACAGTTATTATACAATGAACCGCACTCAACTAACAAGAATCAATCATCTCTTTCGCTGGCTAACATAACAAACAAAGAGAACAATAGCGATGATAGCTCAGGTTGGTGACTTCTTTTCTTACTTTACAAGCTCTTTCAACTATTCTTCATAGTTTACTATCTTGCTTATCGTTATCATCTGTAGATATATAATCAACAAGTAAAATATGAAAATAATTTCAGACACTTGATTTGTCTTACGTATCTCTGATTAATTCAGAGAACGTTCTTAATAGATTCGGAAAAGAATAATCTATTGCTTTTAAGAAAAATAGTACATCAAATATCTTATATTGTATATGAAGATGACACAAGTTTTACAGTATAGTTCGTGAAACATCCTCTCCCACAAGATATAATAGAAATTGACTTCCCTGAGTTTATATATTTTAAACTAATCTGAAAAACTTTAGTTTCATCAATATGTAAAATGTACCTCAAATCTTATACCAACGTACTTGACAATAAGAATGCTTGCATCCTAAGAATAATGATGTTGAATTCAATATTAAAAAGAGTTCTATAGGCTAAACTAGGTTCTGAAGCACTTCAGTGCTTTCTAATCGTAGACGAAAAGAAGCCTGCTTTTGCTACGTACCAATCGAGTACATCATATCCTCTTCTTCATTGTCAAATAAAAGAATATTTTGAGCTGAGAAACTTCTTTGACTGGATTGTTGCACTGATCGTTGATAATCTGAAAAAACACATAAAGAGCTTGTTAAATGCGAATTATAATAAGAAATAACAGAAACGAACCTTGAAGTCGTTTAGCGACTTCATTACAATGTATTTTCTCGAATGCTTCAATTAGACAATAACAATCTTCATCGCTAATAATCGACTTTTCGAAAAGAAATTCCAGTACGCGAAGTGCTCCCTTAGGTGAAGGGTCATTGCACAAATATTTGGGAACGTTGTTACCAAGAATTGAATAGAAATTACGTCGATCATTGTCCGATAGAACATCTTGTATTTCGAGCAACAATAAACGAACACCAAATTGTTGGCTCATTTGATAATGACAAAGTACTATCTCTAAAAAGAAAAAAGTAATAGAACATCAGTTGATATACGTTTTCATTAAAACCGATTAGTTAGTCATGTTTACATTGCGTACAACTTGCATGAGACGTTGTAACATAACGTAGAAGAAGAAAATAGTAGGAGAATACGAGATAAGATGTTTTTCTTGTCTCGTGGAAAAAACAATCAAGAAAATGGATAAGATGGTCGAAGGAAAAGAAAAAGTAGCGAAGTAATGAAAACACGATTAAGAAGATTGGTTTTCAACTCAACACTAATTATATACAACGTAGTATCTATATACTTCATCGACTCTTTCTATTCATAGATCTGCTTATTGACAAGCTCCAGTGTGGTTACATTTGTTTAAAATGCATCGTCTTTTTTCTTCGATTTGCTCACTATGGTTAGAGGTTTGCTGCTACGCTCGTTTTTTATTTCTATTTTGACTTATCCTTCAGTCGTCGTATCAAAGAAGAAAATTTGTTGAGACAGAACCGATAGACATTCTGTAAATAGAAGGAAGAAAAAAAAAAACCATCGCCCAACCAAAGAATAATATGAGACTTCGTTAGTTTTATAACACTTCCTTATCTATGACAAATGAGTCGCATATATTGTTATTGATCGGAACAGAACAAAGAAAAACTTCACAGAGACAAGAGACACAAACCTAAGGAAAATTTTTTGACGATTTCCATTGAAAAAATCTGATTTTCATCGATTTTTTAGTATGAAAAAAAAAATCAATTAAAACTAGATTTTTTTTCCATCGAAAAACTCCGATTTAAATAGAGAATGGCAGAGCCAAAGTAAAACTATAGTGGTCGCACATCCCAATTGAAGCAGAAAAGCAGATATTTTTTTGCATATAACATAGAATCGTCTCATGTCGAGAGGAAACCAAAAATATGGAACAATCCAAGCTCACACATGAAACCATGTAAAAAGTGTCATACAATTAACAAGGTAGAAATATCAGAAGAGAAAATTTTTGATAAAAAGTTTTCTGAATGTCATGTAAAATGTCGCTTATTGATCTACAATCCGATATCATGAAGTTATGACACTGAAACTGCCTACCTATATCTATTTCCAATTTTGCAAGCAATAATTTCAAAATCGAAATTTTTTCTCGATAAGTTTCTTCACTCGAGTGAAACTTCATTATATTCTTATTCTATCTAAGACTCGATTACAACGTTACAAAAAAAAAAGAAAGAATAGAATGGATTATTTAAAGGCTAATATCGTACAACAAGCTGATTGCTTTAGCATCAGATCCATTCTTGGCAACATGACTCAACATAGTACTAAAAATATAACAACTGATAAGTTTGTTGCTTTTTATGTCTTCATGTGAATGAGATTCGAACTATGTCATTATATCTCAATTTTGAATATGTTTACAAGTCGACATTCGATCAATTTCGCATTCAAATATAACAAAACTCAGAAATCAAAAATCTAATTCATTTCTTAAATATTTCTCGATAGTACAAGTATATTTTCAAATCAAAGGATTTTTTTCGTTTGTTTCACTTGATGAGTTTTCTCATCTTCAATTATGAATTTCCTGTGGATATGATTAAAAATAGCACAAAGAAAACTGTTTTCTTTCTCACACAAAAAAATCTCTAGAAAGTTTGTTTTTTTTTAACACCTGAGAAATCATCCACGTCGATATTGATAGGAAAATATGTAATCAATCGTCTATTTCGTGAAACGGTTCCCACCATACATGTTTCCACCATTTAGAAGAAGGCAAACTGACCGGATCATCGTAAGTAATGCGTATCATGAGACCATAGCAAATGAGATCATGCCGACCGACTGGTTTATCTGCTGGCAAAATCCATTCGAGTTCATCGTTGCTAAAGTTTGGATCTATTTGAAAAGTTTTTGCATTTTTTGCTAGCAGAGTCTCTGATTCAATAAGACCAACTTCAACTAGACGAGGATTTACTCGGCATTGTAATACCATTTGATAGTATTTGCCAGTTTCTTTCTGCTGCCAAGGTGTTGCATAGCGTGGATGTGCCGAATATTCTATACTTGGCGATAAATAAATATTAAGACCTTCACGATAGCATCCTTCACTGCCTTGAAGTCCATTATTGAGAATATCAGATGCCACAGCATTCTTTGTTCCATGATAAGCAACATGATAATCACCATAGAGTTGATCAAATTCTTCCTGTGTCTTCGTTACTTTGATAGCAAAACGTGTCCAGCCGACTGGACAATAGTATGGTTTACCAGCTCTATTCAAACTACCAGTCCAATAGGTACCTCCTAGTCCACTACTGTAAACTCGATTCCATTGAGGAAAAAGTACTTGATCTTTTACATTGAGACCAAAGCGACCAAGCGTAATCATTGTTATTTTACCGTGTCGACTCAAATTCTCAAGTTCAGCATCATCTACCGAAAAATATTTCATCACAAGTTTTCCATATGGAGGACAAACGACTCCAAACACAATGGCACTACCGGATTCTACTCGTTCGATAATAAATGCATCACGAGGAATGTTCAATTGTTTACAAATTTGTATAATATAGGCTGCTTTTTTCGTTGCACTGTTATCGGATTCTTTCCAATTTTCGAAGTCTTCATCAAGAGTGACCGTGATAGGCAATGGTTGAGCTATAAAATTTCGCATAATTTTCAAATGATAAAAATAATATTAAAAAGGTCAATATGAAAAACGTCAACTCGAGAATGATTTCTCGAAACTTACTCGATGTATCATCAATACTGCCAAAAATAACTGGTGCAATAGCATCTCCATCTTTATTTGTTTGTCGTCGATTACGATCAAGCTTTTGTTCATCCATAAAACATTTTTGAAAAGCATCTTGATTCTTCTTAGAACTACCAACAGCCAAAATACGTAATGTAGTAACTAATTGAAGAATATCGCGATGAACTCGTGCCTGATCAGCGCGATGTCTTCGTTCAAGTTTATGTCGTATTTTCTCATTTTTTTCACGTTGTTCTTTATCATATGAATGAATCTTCTGTAAAAACTCATTGTATAATATATCTGTCCAAAATTTTTGTTCACGACTCCATGTACTTGATTGAATATATCGCCTACAAATAGAGGGTAAGTATGAATTACGTAATAGTACAAAGTCGTGAATTAAAATGTAAATTCTATGCACTTTCTAAATCAATGCTTATCGTTTTTTATGATTTTTGTCTTTAGAGATATGAGATTTGATCGATTTCCTACGGTTGTAAAACCGATGGAAAATCAGAAGAAAATGATTTCTTCATATATTTAGCGTTTTCATATCATCATCAAAGAAGAAATCGGACTTCTTTCCATGGATTTTCAAGTCATAGAAAAGCAGCTACTTGTGTGAATTACAAGAGAATCTTTAAAAATGGTTGTTTTTAATTGAATTTCTTTCACATATATCCTAAAATATTGTTGAAAATAGTGAAAGACACTAAAAATTATATTAGAATAAAATTTTCTGCAAAATGGTAAAATACAGTCAACTCTTTTTTTTTGAGTTTAAATTTCATATTATCAATACCAAATAATTCTCAGGCAAAACTCTAATATCTCGGAAAATAGCTAAGCCTATACATATTCGATGCTTTTCCTCTCCTATACAATAATGATTGTACTAAAAAAATTTTCCTATATTTTAAAATTTCATTGAGACTATTTGTTTTTCTCATTAAAAAAAGGTAAATATGTATTGATCTTACTCCGAATTTTTGTAGCCTTTGTCGATAGTCTTGGACATAAATTCGAGTATTGTAGCTAATGTCTCTGATTGATCACCTTGTGATGAATGAATCTCATGATCAACCTTTTCCTTTTGTGTTTTAATATCGTCAGAATATCGTCTATTGGCATTTTGAATAATTTGATTTTGACTTATCGACTCAATAATCGAATCAATTTGTATGCTTGATATATTTTCTCGGTCGAGTCTTCTATAATATTCAAAAAAATTGTATTACATAGAAGAATCAGAAAATGCATTGCATACAACATGCAGAAAGCCATTGAAGTGCATTTGACGGTAGAAAAATCATTTTTTCTGAAGAACTCAAAACTTTTGAATAAAGATGAAGAAGTTTGATTATTCACGAACTATCTGCAGTTTATTCTAGATGTTAAGATTAAGCAAAATGAATTTCTCATAATCTCACCTATTCTGATTCATATTTTCATGTGTCGCTCCTACAGAAATATTCAAATTTTGTACAGTTGCGTTTACTGATTCGCGCAAGATCGGTATGAAATATAAAGGTGGCCATGAAGATCTTCCAGATGGACGCAATTCAGAGTGAATAGTGACAAGTAGCATCACTAATCTATTGATTTGATCATTATTGAACGTTTGCGTAATGTTTTGATAAATGGATTGTGTTGATGAAGAGAAAATATGATTGAGTTCCGTCTGAATTTTATCATAAGCAATGTTGACAGCGACTTGAAGATTATTAAATGCTCTTTTGGCAAGACGAATCAATTCATCTTGTAATTGGTTCCTTCTATCGTCAACCTTTTTATTTTCATGTACAGCTGCATGATAAGTTTTCTCCTGTTCGACTCGTGTAGATTCAAGCACAATTTTTTGCTCTTTGACGAAACGTTGTAAACAGAAGGCAAGATCGTCATCCATCGTTATTTATAACACAGTGAAGTGAATAAATGACACTCAAAGACGTTGTTTCGTTCTGTAACATTTGCAACTTCTCTCAAAATAATTTTAAAACTTTGTTTGGCATTTTCTATCCAGAGAAAATAATAAAGAAATTTTTTTTTATTCTTGGTTTTACGGGACAGCAGCAAAAAATTATATAGCAGTTTTCTTTTTAACTGTATTGACTTCAATTATTATTTGCTGTGTACAATATCGTTTAAACTCATTGTTATTAATACTAAAGAAAATTTTTTTAATTTCATTAGAAAACTATTTTGAAATCAAATAACGCGCATTCTGCATAGCTTCTTATGTTGTATTAATAAAACGAACAAATATTTGAATATGATATACTTTTCGGTTTTCTTCTTGAAACAATAGTTTTTTTTTTGTCTTGATTATTCAATGCTGATACTTCAGTGAAACTAGATTTCTGACTAATTAGTCGTTTCTTACGTACCAAACTTTGAAGATACACTTATAAACAAGACATATTTATAGTAGAAATATTTGATCTCATGATAAGTTATCTTTTATTCGTATTTCATAATTCAAATAAATATATACTTTGAAAAATCATTAAAATGATAACTACATCGAAAAGAGTCTAAACGTCCTGGTCCTTCACTGTAAAAAAGAACTGCTGAATAGTAAACTCTTAAAGAATTTGCTATACGTTGCACTTTCATAAACCCTTTGTAAGAGCACATGAACTTTGTAAACGCTTTCTAATAACCTTCAAACCGATGACCATAAACTGTACAAAGAGCCTATAAGAATAATCAAACGCATCAGGAGTATATCAACAAGTATATAACACCATATATGGATGCGTTCATGTTATCAATCCATTGAAGGAACCTTCCAAACCGATAAACCAAAGCTTGTATTTTATCAACTCACAACGCTTATGATAGAATTATCTAACAGATCCTTAACGCATCATAGCTGTCGAAAATCGGATAGCACAGTCAATGCTCTTGCGCAATAACACAAAAGACTATGGCGTAAAACACAACTAAACTTAACCATTTCATTCTGCCTGCCTTCGAAAATGTAGGAAAAATTATCGTAATAGATAAATAATAAAAGAAAAGTGACAAATAAATTATCTTCTTTTGTTTGTCTCGTAGAATACTCTAAAACTATTGGCACAACTGAATTAATACAAAGAAAGTTAAAGTAAAATAATTTTTTTCGATTTCTACTGAAAGATAGTCGAAAAATATCATGATAACTAAACGATGAAAAATAAACTTAAAGTCAATTCTATTATAGTATTTTTCTCCATAAAAATTTCAATAACTATCAAGAAAGCAAATCATAGAAAGAAAACACACGTTAAATAACTTATCTCATAAATTATTCTGTTTTTCCGATAAAGTACGCGATCACTTCAAGCATAAATAGAGGATGAAAAAGAAAAACTGAATTGATTCAATCTGCTCGAGTTTTGCATGTAACGTCACACAATCATGGAAATACATAAAACAAGGAAATAAAAGTAAAGTTATTTTTCTGATACCATTTTCTCCATTAAAAAGCGCTAAATATGTCAGAAGAACTAAATGAAGAAAAAATGGAACATATGTTTTCTCATTCGATTGCTTCTGTAAAACTTCCAGCGACTATCAGTATAAGTAGATGCCAAAAAAACAGCAAAAGTATATTACTTCTTAATTTCTCTCAGAACAAGCAGCAAAGTACGAGCAAAAACAAACTCATCGAACTTATTTTGGTTTGTTTCAGGACATTTGCAATCATCGTTATGATAATTAAATGAGAAAAAAACAAAATTAAATTAAACTAACATGTTTGAGTTTTTCTCAGAAAGTGATAAAGTGTATTCGGAATAACTAAACGAAAGGAAAAAAAAAAGTACAGTGTGTATTCTCATTCTATTGCTTCTGTCAAATTCTAAGTACTTATGGGGATAAGTAAAGGAAAAAAAATAAACTAAACTCACTCTTTCGATTTCTCTTATAAGAAGATTTGAAGTATGCACACAATTAATCGAAGAAAAGACAACGAAACTAGTTCATTAAGTTTGCTTGATTAGATGCCCAAGAACTATCTGAATAGTTAAAATAAACGAAAATCATATTAAATGAAAATGCAGTAATAATTAAT